AATTTTCTGTCAGGGCCTTTTCTCTTCCCTTAAAGGTTTGCTGTGCTCCAAGATGGCCTCTGACCGCAGGTCCCTGTGTCGTTCCCCCTGCGGTCTTACTGGCGTGCACTGAGGCCTCCTTTGTCCCGCCTTCCCACGGGAGTCCACTGCCTCCTGCTGTTGAAGGCTGCTCCCTGCCGGCTCCGTGGGGCCACCTCAGCTCGGAGGAGCGGCCGGCAGGTGTTCTGATTTCAGCCACACCTGCACCCTCCCACCCCCCGCCCTGGGGACAGGCTCCCACCTCTCGGAGGTCCCCAGCCCTCAGTCTTCAGCCCTCTCCCATGACTTGCTCAGGCCCTGGAGAGCTGTGGTGGGGGCGAGGAAGGACTGGACAGGGCCGAGGAGGAGGGATGTCGACAGAAGAAACATCCACACCTGTAAAAAAAAATTTATGCAAGTTTATTTGCGCCAAAAAACTGACGGCAAATGCCGGGGCCCGAGAACGCAAAGGCTCTGGAGAACAACAGGTTCGCAGCTTCTTTTATGCGTTCGGTATTGAGGACGAGGACGGGAAGGAGGGAGAAGGCGGGGCCGGACTGCATCGCAGGGCGGGCAGCAGGACTCTGCACACCTGAGGGCGGCTCCCGCTTGTGTCAGAGGTGCCTTAACCCACATGCACGAAACAAAAACTGGACGGGGCGTGCTGAAGGCAAAGACAGGCGTTTTACTACGGCGACAGGCCCGCGGGCGTGACTCCCCGCCACGACCAGATCGCCCTGGGAGGTGACTTTCTGTAGAACCCCTGTCTCCACGCACAGGGAGGGGGTGTCTCAGGCCCTCTCTCTACCTAACCAGCCACATGGTGTCCTGCCCCGGCCCAGCCCTCTCTGTCCCAGCTGCCTTCTTCACCCACTGGGTCCTTTCGTGCCACGTCGGGCCGCAGTTTGGCCACGACGGGGAGGAGCTGCAGTTGGGATGTTGCCTCCGACGTGTCCCTCCATTTGCCTGTGTTCCCAGACTCTGCGCCACGCTCCTGCTCCTGCGGTGGGCACGTCCGTAGGTCATATCCGTTTCTCCCCTCCCCTGAGGACTTGTGGTCCTTTGCTTATTCCTTGGGTGATTCAGCGCCCTGGGTTAGCCACAGACAAAAGAGGTCAGGGAGGAAGGACAATTTACAGATAAAGAGAACTATGTACCTTGGGAAGGATTTCAAAAATATCCCAGGTACACTCATCGGGGGGGTTTAGAGAATTCCTCCTGTGAATAAACAAGCACCGTTTTCACTTTTGTAACCTAACTGGAATGAATACCCATCGAGTTAACTACCCCGATTGCCGGAAGTCAGAACCTCCGGGCGTCCCCTCCCCGACCCTGGGCCTGGCCGATAAACGCTGCTTTAGAGTCAACTGGGCTGATTATCCACGCCTCTGGGCCCCCTGGGGTTGTAATTTTAAATTCTTTGAACACAGCGGTAGAGATTAACTCGGGTTAAATTTAAACTTAAGAACATTTGGAAAGCCCTGGGGTGGCTCTAACCTCAAAGGTACAGCAGAAGGACCATCCCAGGAAAGAACGGGAAGCAGGCAGCCTGGCCGGGATGCTCAGGACATCAGATGATTCGGCCACATGTTCCCTTCCTGTCCAGGCAAGTTATGTGCTCCTGCAAGAGAATCTGGTTGGTCTAGCTAAGGTCACATGCCCGGCTCTGTGATTTGGAGTGTGTCAGTCCATTCAAGCTGCTTGGGAACTAAAAAAGGGGTCCTAACCCCACAGGGTGATCTGATTATGCATCCCTAACTGGGAAGGTCGCAGTGCATAGCCGTGCCCCAGGCTCACAACCGCTTTAGAGAAAGGCTTATCTTTGCCCTCAGCAAACCCTGTCCACTGGTCCCCCGGCCTCTAGGTAATCACGTCTTTGAAATGCCCCTTTGCAGGCCACTCCCTCTGAAGCATGACCACCCTCGAGAAAGCAGTAACCTTAACTCTCCTGGAATCCAGTCCCCACTTCATGGAATCTTCCTTAGGTTCCCTCTTTAATCTCGAAAGCAAAAAGGAAACCGAAAACTGTTATTTCCTCCCAAGCATTTTTCTCAGTCTGTTGAGATCTTGCCTCCAAGGGGATCCCCTGTTTGACTAAAATACACTTTTTAATAAGAATGTTCTATGGGTTTGGGCGTTTGTATGTCAACATGCCGTAACAAAATACCACAGACTGCACAGCTTGTGCCAAACAGACATTGATTTCTCATAGCTTTGGAGGCTGGATGTTGGGGAGCAGGGTGTGAGTGTGGTCGGGTCCCGTAGGTGAGGCCCCTCTTATTTGGGGACCGTCACCTTCTCGCCGTACCCTCACACGGAGGAAGGGGCCAAGAGGCTCTGTGGGGTCCCTTTTATAAAAGCCCTAAATCCCATTCGTGAGGCTCCACCCTCATGACCTCATCACCTCCCAAAGGCCCCGTCTCCTAATGCCTCCTGCACATCGGGTGCAGGATTCCAGCGTGTGAATTTGGGGGGGACCGTTACCGGGTAGTGGGCATGCAGGTGAGGTATGTCGGTTAGTCCACTCACCAGAACCTCACACGTGGAGGAGAGGCAGGAAGGGGGCGCTCTTCCCAGAAAAGGCCAAAAGCAAAGGGGTCCACTGCATCCCGTCTTTTGCCCAACACACCCACCCTACACACACACACACACACACACACATCGTCCACTGCATCCCGTCTTTCTTTTGCCCAACACACCCACCCCTACACACACACACACACACACACACACACACACACACACGTGAGCGTACATGTACATGCACACACATATACGTGCGCGCGCACACACACACACCCTCCTTTCAGGTATAGGATTAAAAAATGCCTCCCTTACAAGGACAACCCAGGAGAAGCACTGGAAGCACACACTGCCCTCTAAGAGGCGGGACCCTGAATTCACGCCCAATGATTGGCAGCGGATTTACCCAATGGAGCCATCGGGCTGTGAATCCAGGGCCTCTTGCCTTCTCTCATTTATCATAACTCTTATTGACAGTCACAAATCTATGGCCTGAGTAGTAAATTTAACCACTAATAGTGAAGAGAATGAAGAGGCGAAGGAAGGAAAATGCTGAAAAATTATTCCATGACACGGCAAGCAAAAAGTTACAATCTTTTGGTTATAATCTTTTCCTGGCATTGGTATCAATATTATTATTACCAGTTTCAGGAAAATAGTAGTAATAATATGAGTAGTGATCATTACAGCTGTAATTTACTGAGTGCATGCCAGGTGCCAGGTGCTGATCCAAGGGCTTTACAAGAATTAGCTCAAGGTCATGGTGCGTATTCACGACTCCCCATTTCCCCATCCCTGTGCCTTCAGCCAGCTCCTCAGCAAGTTTGAGTCCTTTTTGCAGACGGAAGAGCCTAACCTTCCCGTCTTCCCGAGTCAGGTGCTGGTAACCTTCCAGGAGCCTTTCCTCCTGGCCATCGTAGGGCAAGTGGGCACGGGTCCACTGCCTGCATCCGGTGCCTGTAGGCAAGCTACTTCCCTTTGATGGATATGGCTGGCCACTTTTGCCAACAACATAATTCTCTTTTCGTCTATTTGCCTCATGGCTCAGGAGCTCAAAAAAGGACAGTTCGCCAACAGCGTGAATGTACTTAATACCACTGAACTGCACACTTGGTTAAGATGGTCAGTTTTATGTTACATGTATTTTACCACAATTTTTAAAAATTAAAAGAAAAAGGCCAGCTTAAAGTAAAATGGCGTAGCCACTCTGGGCAACAGCCTGGCAAATGGATACGTAAATCATAAATCATGGCATATGCGTACGATGGAGTATTAGCCATAAAAAGGAATAAATACTAGCGCATGTTGCAATGTGGATGAACCGCAAAGACATTATGCTATGTGAAAGAAACCAGGCATGAAAGGTCACATATTGTATGATTTTGTTTATACATGAACTGTCTAGAACAGGTAAATTCATAGAGACAGAAGGCAGACTGGTGATTGCCAGGGCCGGGCGAGAGGGATGGAAGGTAGCTCTTCACGGAGAGGGGGTTTCTCTGGGGGGCAATGAAAACATTTTGGAACTAGATAGAGGTGACGGCTACACAACATTATTAATGCACTACATGCTGAGTCGTTTCCTTTGAAATAGTTAATTTTATGTTATGTGTATTTCCCTTCAATTTAAAAAAGTCAGAAAAATGGATTGGGGTCTAAAACGGTGAGGATTCTGTTAAATAAATGCAGCCTTTTGCTGTGTCAAACAAACAGAGAGTTACCAGATAACCCAGGGATTGGACTGCTGGGGACCGACCCAAGAGAACTGAAAACATCTGTCCACACACAAACCTGTACGGGAGTGTTCACGGCAGCACTGTCCGTAACAGGCTGAGAGTGGAAACAGGCTAGATGTCCATCAACTGGTGAATGGATAAATGAAACAAGGTCTGTTCCTACAATGGAATATTACTTGGCAATAAAAAAGAACCAAATACTGATGCATGCTCGGAAAGGAGGCGAAATCTCGAGAACATTATGTTCAGTGGAAAAGGCCAGACACAAAGGGCCACATATTGTATGATTCCGTTTATGTGAAATGTTCAGAACAGGCAAATGTATAGACAGAAAATAAACGAGGGGTTGCCGGAGGGGGTGGGGGGAGGGAGGAGTGGGGAGTGACTGCTAAAGGTGTGGGGTTTCTTTGAGAGTGACGAAAGTGTTCTGGAATGAAGTAGCCGGCTGCACAGCTCCGTAACCTGGAAGCCACGGAGAGAATCGTGTGGCACTGAATCCTCTCAGTAAGGCTGCACGTGTCATTGTTTTTTTAAGGCCGGCTCACACTTTCCAATTTGACGATTACTGGGTAAACAGGGGGAAGGGTTCCTCCTTCGGGTACTAAGCAAAACCTTCTAGATGAGAAGAGCTTCCAGTCACGTAATGGGCAGCAAAATTTGGGGGCGAGCGGTGGAATTGTAAGGGGCAGCACTCGCTCTTGCCCACCAGTTTGTGGATTCGTGTGTCCTGGTCATTGGAGGAAAGGGCACACGGACTATTTCTGTACAGGAGCCTGTGAGGCGGCATCCTGTCCCACCCCTGCTGGGGTCACCAGGATCTCGTGTCCCGGGGATGAGCAGGCGGAGAGCTGCCCTGTCACACACGACCCTGCCCCCAACAGCTCACACCCATTACGACGGCTATTATAAAAACACAGTAAAAACAACAAGCGTTCGTGAGGATGCGGAGTGGTCGGAACCCTTGTGCACTGCTGGTGGGCGTGTAAGCTGGTGCAGCTGCTGTGGAAAACAGTATGGAGTTTCCTCAAAAAATTAAGAATTGAATGACCATGCGATGCAGCCATACCACTTCTGAGTATCTACCCGACAGAATTGAAAGCGGGATCTCAGAGATATTTGTGCACCCATGTTCAAAACAATAGCTGGGAGGTGAAGGGACCCCAGTGTCCACGGAGAAACGGAATGTGGTCTGTACATACGCTGGAACGTTATTCAGCCTTAAAAAGGGAGGGGATTCTGACTCGTGCTATAACGTGGAGGAACCCTGGAAATGTGATGCTCAGCGAAAGAAGCCAGACACAGAAGGACAAACACCGTGTGGTGGCTCCCCTTGCGTGAGCTCCCTGCTGTAGTCAAGGTCACAGGAACGGGAAGTCCATCCGTGGTTGCGTGGGGCTGTGGGAGGGGGGAGTGGGGAGTTATTGTTTAACAGAGTTTCAGTTTTGTGAGATGAAAACAGCTCTGTGGATGGACGGTGGTGGTGTTTGCACACCACGCGAATGTATTTACTGCCACCAAACACTACACTTAAAAACGGTAAAGGCGGCACATTTTATGTGTCCCATAGAGCATGCTGCTCTTTGCTCTCTGAGGGCTTGTTGGGCCAGGGCTGAGCTGCACACAGGCGCTCCCCCTCTCCCCCAGAGCTGCCGGGGACTCTGGGATTGCGCCTGGAACACAGCCAAGCTGCTGACCGGCTTCTCTCCGACCCCCTCGGAGGCAGCTGGCAGCAGGAAAGTCAGCACGGCCAAGTCAGCTGGCTGGGTTGGAGCAGGCGCTTTGGGCCCAAGGTTATAATAATCCCAAGGCACAGCCCCGACTGAAAAGCCCTGTGCTCCTCTGGCGGCAGAAATCAGGCTCGGGCAGTGCCGATCGCCAGGGATGGGGAGGGGCCCTGAGGAGCACTCTGACCCCGAAATCCTTGGATTCCCAGAATCTCTCCCTTCTCCCTGGCTGTGGCATTTAAGGATAGTTTTAGCAAACGCTGCCCAGAGAGCGCGATTTGCCAAACCCTGAAGTCCCGTCCCTGCCCCCATAGCTGTGCTGGGGGAAAGGGAGTGAAGCGGGGAGCAGCGGTCCCTGGGGAGGGAGGGGCACCAAGCTTGGCCCCTGGACCACTGGGTTCCAGGCCCTGGCTGCGTGTCCTAACAGCCCGCCAGCACCATTCACCCACTTCTCAGAGTTCCTGTAAGGACCGAATGAGTCTATCCTGACAGTCGTAAAGATTGTCATCAGGTACTCATCACTGTTACTGTTTTTATACACAAAGGACCCGCCTTTCATGGGCGATTTGAGAAACTCTTGAGGGGATGTTCCCCTTCCTTCTCAGACCTCGCACTGGAAGAAAAGACGTTTGTGATTGTGGGTTTGGAGGCACGGGAACTGCCAAGCACACACCATCGCACGTGGAGCCCTGTGCTGGGAGCATACGATTGATTCTGCACCCACTTCCAGTGTCATATTCCCCCCTGGCCCCCGACACCACCAAGCAACGCTTTGACACCAGATGGGTGTCCTAAAATTTAGCTCGATGCCGACATGCTCGACCCAGAGACAACCTCAGATCCCGCAGGTTGACGGCTCTGTCCTCCTAGACTGCCCCGACTTCAGGTGCCAGTCACAAGTCCAGTTGCCACCAGTGCCTCTGACTGATTGGCTAGAGGTGGCAGGTGTCTGCGACCTCGTCCTTGGGTTAAAGTAATTTGCTAGAGCAGCTCACAGAACTCAGGAGACACTTGACTTCCTAGACGGCTGGTTCATTATAAAACGGTATAACCCGGCAACAGCCAGATGGCAGAGATGCACAGGGCACGGTGTGGGCAAAGGGCCCAGAGCTTCCGTGCCCTCCCTGAGCCCACCACTCCCAGCACCCCCAGGTGTCCCCCAGCCTGGAAGCTCACCAAACCGGCTTTTCCAGGTTTTTATGGAGGCTCCATTACAAGGCACGTTCGATTAAATCATTGACTTTTGGAGACTAAACTCAAATCTGCAGGCCCTCTCCCCTCCCTGGAGGTGGTGGGGGGCAGGACTGAAATGCCCAACCCTCTCATCACGTGGAGGGCTCCGCTGGCAGCCAGCCCCTTCCGTCACGTGACGCGGGGGCATTCTAGAAGTCACCTTATTAACTTAACACACGACACCTTTATCGCTCTCACCTGAGGAAACACCGAGCGTTTTAGGAGCCCTGTGGCAGGACAGGGGTCGAAGACCGAATATGTATTTCTTGTTCTAAATCACAACATCACAGAGCATTTCACGGATCGCCTCGTTTTATCCCCTGGGTCCTTCTAAGAGGCGGGGAGCACAAGCCCAACGTGCAGTTTCCAAGACTGAGGCTTACCCGAGGGGCAGTGTCTGACACTGCTACCGAGTGCGAGGGTTGGGTTAGAACTGAGGACTGTCTAGCTCCCAGTCCTCCTCCCGCAGAGCGCATCCCAGAAGCCCTTAGCGCACTTGCCCGGACCAGCGAACGTGAGCTTGCAAACCGATCCCTCCTGGTGGCCTCTCTCTGTCTCTGTCTGTCTGTCCCTCTGTCTCTCTCCACGAGGAATTCAGTTTATTTATCATCCTCAGTTTCTATGAATCACCGTTGAGAGCCTTCTTCTACCCATTTTCCTTTGACGACGTGGACAGACAGCGAGGAAAGATAATATGTAACGGGAAGGGCTTGCTGGTAGTTCTCGGTCTTTGGTCCACATGTTCCCTATGGTTTTAGCTGTAGGGCATGGGTGATTTTATGTTGTGCGGGAGGAGACTGACTGAAAGGTTTTCCCTGTTCTCCCTTTAGGGTGTGGGGAATGGGTGGTTAGCACCCGGCTGCAGGGCCGATCAGCGTACTGCCGTCTCTGAATGCGGCTTGTTTCAACGTTTAGTTCCCTGGCCTCCTCCTTACATGGCGAGCCCAGTGAACCTTTGTTGGCCCAAAGTGACCTGGATCCCACAGCTCTCCGTACGGGTCATTCCAATCTAGCGAGATGGAGTAAACGGAATGCACCAGAGCCCAGAGCGGGTGGAGAGAGCCCGGTGACCGGACCGGCCTGTTCTCCGTGACAACGCAGAGGAGCAGAGCACCAGGCTCAGTCCTTGGGCGAAGCGTATTTTGAGGGGACAGAGAGGAAGGACTGGCGAGGCTGAGGGACAGCAGCAGAACGGGGGGGCTGGGGTTTAGCTTGGTCATTGCTGCCGGGCGTGACTTTGCTGGGAAGGAAAAGACGCTGCCACCAGCTCTTTCTGTCTCTGCATCTGGCTTCTCCATGTGGCCAGGAGCAAGCGCCTCTGGGGGCCGGGGGAGGGGGACCCAAGTTTGCACGCGGAGAAGGTCAACCTGGGCTGCAGGATTGTCCCACACGGCTTCACATGCGAAGTTCTAGATCTTCGTCCTGGATTCCGAAATTCCGTGGGAGAGCAGGCAAGCATTGGGCTTGATACAGAACAAGCAAACTCGCATGGCAGCCTGTGCTATGCAGACTGCGGGGCAGCTGGCTGGGCTCTGGCACATTTGCGGAGGCCCAAGTCTTCCGAGGGAGCGAGGGAGCAGGCCCCTCGCCCCTTTCCTGCCCCGAGCAGCACCGAGAGCCCCCGCCAGGGGCCCGACCCCCCAGATCTGTGCTCTGACTGCCGTGGGGAGGCAATCAGGCATTAGAAGACGAAGTCAAACAATAGGATTCTGTCTTGGCGACAGGTATTAGAGCCCGATTTTAGGTTGTTTCATTAAGGGGAGAAAAGACCTCTGCTGTGCCACAGTCCTGACCAGCACTGACGTGTATGGTGTGAGACTGGTGATGACTCCCCCGCCTTCTTCTCTTACAGTTCTTAAAACCAGGGTCAGCTCCACGTGGCCCGTGGCCATTCCCTGGCTGTGGACCTGAATTGTGATTTGCACAGAAAAGCAAAATCCTGCGGCTGAATGGAACTAGTAAGAAAGGAGACTCTTCCAGCGAGGAAGAGCTGAGGGATAGGAAGTTATGTTAATTTGATCACAACTGACATTTGATTTTATTTTTAGCTTGAGCTCGTGGTCAGTGGCGCCCACAGATCATGCCCACTGACAATCGCCATCTCTCCCCGGTCCGATGGGCTCTGTGATAATGGCTTTATGTGCTTAGGTTAATCCTTTCCGTAACTCCGTTCTCCATGAGGTCAGTCTGCTGTATTTCACCAGGGAAAGCACTGAGACAGGGAGAAATGAATAACGCGCCCAAGGCCACATGTCCAGCCCATGGCAGTGCCGGGGTCTGAGCCCAGACGGCTGGGGTCTGAGCCCAGAACCCGAACCACTGTGCTCTGCGGCCTCTCTCAGCGTGAGATTTAGTGTCGGATTCCTCCGTTCGAATCCTGTGCAAACTGGCCCCGTCCACCCCGAGGTCAGGGGGCCTCATTCCTCTCCCTGCTCCCTCGTGTCCAGGGCTGCTTCTGGCCTCTGCGGAGAAGGGAGCAGGGACTCCGTGAGCAGGAGTGACACGGGCTCTTCACCAGAGCTGGGCCCCACGCCAGTTGAGACCCCAGGCATGCAGCCAGCCAGGAGAACGCACCCCTGCCGTGGTCACGTCACGGCCATTCTGTGTGGGGAGAAGACAGGCTCCCCCAAGCCCGGACGGTCTCCAGATGGCTTTCCTCTGAAGACTTTCCCAGAGAATCTCGGGGACCCCGGGCAGCATGGGTGGTGACAGAGCCCCGGCCTCGTATCCAGCATCCGGGGGAGCAAGCTGTCTGTTGGCTGCCCTGCGGGGTGCCAAGCTAAACTCTTCTCCCCTGGGCCTCTGCTTCTCCATCTGTAGTGAGTCAGCTGGTGACCCCAGAGTGCTGTGTCCAAGTCCTTCTCCCTGGCACCTGAGAATGTAGTCTTATGAGGAAATAGGGTCTTCGCCAGTGTGATTAAGGATCTCGGGCGATGAGATCGTCCACGGATTTAGGGTGGGCCCTGAATCCAACGACACGGTCCTTAAAAGAGACAGGAGGGAGAAGACGCGGAAACACGTAGAAGGGACGGCCGCGTGGAGGTGGAGGCAGAGACTGGAGTGGGGCAGCCTCCACCCAGGGGTGCGCCCCCGGGCGCCCCGCCGAGCCAGCAATAGAACGGGGCCCCCGATGCTCAGGGAAGGGGCCCTAAGTGTTTTGCATCCTCACGAGTTGCACACTTCACAGTTTGCAAAGCACTTCTCCGTCCATTCTCTACCGGGTCCGGGGTGGGAGGTGTTTTCTCATCCAGCGAGTCTTTATCAAGCACCTCCCGCTTAAGGTGAGCATGAGGACGGCACGAGCCGCAGCGTAGGAAGGACTTAGCGCCGTGCCTGGTGGCGCTAAGGCCAGCGGTGGGTGCCGAGTGGGGCTGGCACAGCGGTTGTTATCGGCGTGAACTTGGCCCTGTACCAGGCAACAGAAATCATAAGACCGACACGGGGCCTGACCTCATGGCCCCCAGCCCGTCGGGGACCATGCTCATTAGTCGTATGATGGAGTCAACATTCTAACCATTTCAACCCAGATGTGTGTGTGTTTTTTTTTTAAAGGCGGTTTCTTTCATCAAATGTGGTTTCTTTATTAACTATAACCGAGACCAGAAGCCCACACGTGCACTGAGGGCTCACTCTGTGCCAGGCACAGTTTTAGGGATTTTACTTATTTTAAATGTCACCACACCCTAGGAGGCAGGTACTGTTATGATTTCCATTCGGCAGATGAAGAAACCGAGGCACAGAAAGGTGAAGTAACTTGTCTGAAGTCACACGGCTCGCAAGCAGCGAGGACAGAGCTCAATCTCAGTCGTCTGGCTCCAGGACGCACTGTACTATTTTGCCTCCTGCTTATAAGCACCTCACACTGCTGTATGTGTGTGTGCATAGGGGGGTGCTGGGGGGACTTAGATGAGCTAGTTCACAGATCTCAATCTTTCCCAGTAACTGCTCAGTATTTCAGGGTCCCCTTCACCCCCTCCATCACCCCGCTACCCCTAACCAGCACCACACTTCCTCCTCTCCAGGTTGGTGCCTGGGTGTGTAGGAGGGGCGGGGAGATGGCAGGTAGGGCCTTGGATAGGGCCTGCTGAATAATACATGCTTTTAAACACAACCATTATCTAGTGTACAGGGACAATTGTGAATATTGCCTCAGGGACGAAATGAAAGAGTCTGTTACCTGGTCTCACTGGTGAAGAAGGCCTCTTTGAAGGAGGGGCTGGCGACACCACTCAAGCCAAGGTGACCGGGGAGCTGCATCATATCACGCCCCCGCCCGCCCCTGCAGCCAAGGTTGGAAACCTGCAGATGCTGCTCTAACGGCCCAAAGCGGGAGCCCAGGCCAGGCCGAGCACCTGCTCCAGCTCTAAGCTCCCCGTAGTTCAGATCAGGAAGGCCAGAGAATCCCAGAGAAACAAACCCTGGTTGCCACACGAGCTGGCACCACTGTTCGCCTTTGGCTTTTCGGTGCTGGGCCAACGTGACTAATTTTAACTGACCCTGCTGACTCATCCCACATGCTAGGAATTCCCTCCCCTCCCCTACCCCGAGCCACAACCACAGCCCCTCTCCAGGGCTGCACCACCGAATTCTTAAGTTCAAAGTCATTCCTGATCTCCTCCAAGCCAACATTCCGACCTCATACCTGACCAATCGCTTCACAAAACTCCTGACCTGGCTAAACTGG